TTGTATATAACATTTTTTCTCAGGAATATAAGATTAATTCCGGTTTAATTTGCTGATAATCTTTTTTTAATTTTTAGAATTAGAAAAAGGTAAAAAGTAAATTGAATCGAAATTAATCTTACGCACATTAATGAATATACTTTTAATTATTGGCGTAGAATTTCAGTCAGAGGAGGGCAAAAATTAATCTTTACTCAAAACTTATAAAAATATTTATATTAAGATCAGTCTTTAACGAACTTTCGTACGAATAACGCTTGACCACTTTGGTCAATGAGCATTTAACTTTTCGTCGTAAAAATGATTTTCATGATTTAATTATTTCTCCTTGCCAAAAAATTTTAGAGAGTGAACACTTGCTCTCCCTTTGCGTACGCTCGTGCTTTTAACACTCTGGGAGTTGATACCAAAATTTGTAACACAGTTACAAATTTAACCGATGTCTGTTTCTAACAATGTAGATCAAGATGTTAATCTCAGTTTAACTTACTCTTCAACTTTTTTTAATTTTTAAAATCAGAAAAAGATGAAAAGTTAGTTGTACCGAAATTAAAATTAAAACTACCAACTACATTGGTAAAAACAGACATGAGTCTGTATAAGATTTACACTTAATTTACATTAATTAAAAAGCACACACACATTAATTAATTTCCAAATACTAAAAATGGCGTAACTCATACAAAAAAAGAATGAATATTAAGTATATTTTAATAAGAATAATCTAAATAAGGAAAACTGAATTCACATTCTTTGAAAAACAGATGTATAATTGAGTAGATTCAATAGACCCATCGTCAGCTCCCGAGGATTAACAATATATTCCTTAATATATACATATTAATATTTTAAAGCTTATATAGAGAAAAAAAGTCGTGAGTAATATTTTTATTATTTATTTATCTTACATTCCAGAACATTTACATAAATTAGTACACGAATTAATAACACAGGCATAATAAGGATCTCACTAAATCTTTAAATAAATGTTAAAAAATGAAGCTATTATATGTGTGATTGATCTGTAATAGCATTGAATTCAGACTCAAACTTACAGGCCGTCTTTTGATGGTTCCTCCAAAATACTTATCGCATATTACAAAACTAAACACATCGCTTTAGCAAATAATGGCAGACATATAAGAATTATTTTAAATCGGTGTTTATACAATGTTATATATGTACCATGCTATATATATATATGTACCCAGAACATATATATATATATACCTCTAACGTTATATATTCCGTTAAAAATATCTTACAGGATGAGCTCTACATTTATATTATTTCTATGTGAGAGATCAATTAAATTAATTATACAAAATCATGAAAAGTGTGTGCAAATATGTAGATATTCCATTAAAACAAATATGCCCAATGTATAGAATTACTTTATAATATCATGTGCGGTGTAAACTCATTATAGTATATATCACAAATTAAAAATAAAAACGTAAATAAAAACAAAAATTGTGCATTGCAGCATGCTCGTGGCTTATTATTATTTAAGCACGATTTAAACAATTTTAAACCAAATATCTTCTCTAAAGTTGCAATTGTTTCGTTTTATGTGTTTCATATATATATACACATTACATTAATATATACATAATCGTTTTGTGTATTAATTACAGTAACAATTACCGACTTAATTGATATACGTACCAATATGTGTTTAATTTACAATATATATTGTCAATATAATTGCTATTATTATTACTAATTTAGACTTGGTACTTAAATATGTTATATGTTATGTATGTACCATGAGCATATCGAATCAAAGTAGAATGATTTAGATTTGCCTAGATGCATGCAAATTTGCATAAAGCATATATGTAAAATGTGTAGTAAAAAAAAATTATATTTATATTTAACAATACAAATATAAATTAAAAAAGATATTTTGTGTGATAAATTCAGTACTTTTGATGTAAAGATTATTATCAAATTTACGAAACGCATTGTCATAATTGCATTTTTTTATCTGGATCCAATGCTTACTTAACATATTAATAATGATAGTGGACGGAATGAAAAAATGCATAAACAAAAATGAAAGAAAAAAATAAGTACTTAACTTCCTAAATATACTAGAAACGAGATCTCTCAAATTGCATTCGTCAAATCGTCTAAACTTAAATAAAAATGTCTTAAATCTAAATTATAAAGTGTGCAGCTTTTTTAAATAAAATAAAATTTTTTTAATCACAAGATCAAATAACGTCAAAGACAATATAAGTCCCAGTTTATAATAGATAGTAATAAGCCTTTTTGTTCTAAGTTGTAAATCATAACGCTTTTTTATGGCAAAAAGTATATCCAACGCTATTTTAAGCCGTAGTCCTTAAGCTTTAAATAGAGCTTAGAGCAAATTAACACGCAACTCAGAGCTTAGAGCAAAATGCTAAAGGGGTTACCTATTGTAGACCGGAGCTGAACGCCACGACTTGAAAATCAGAAGGGATGACAGTTCTTTCGAGTTTTAAACGAAACAGAGGACTTGCAAAATCGTCACGCAGTGATAATAAATCTCTTGGAGCGTGTTAGAAAATTTATAAAACGAAATTCTATGTCCATGTTATATACGTGCTTGTACGCACATGGGAGCAATCGTTTTACTCAACCTGGAATTTGATTAGTGATGGTGTTAGATCCAACGGAAACCGAAGGCGGGCTCGCAGGGTCCTGCATTAGCGTGTGCATTTCCTCCTCTTGGTCGGAAAGCGGTATGGCCGGCATGTCATGCGAGTTGGCTTGCTTTATCTTCAACTGGCTTGGCACCTCTGTGAGTACTGGCCCGTACTGCGAAGTGGAACCCACCAGCAAGTCAGTCGATGGATTCAAACCGCCCAACATCTTTCCTCATAGCAACGCGTACATAAGATAAAGAAACAAATGTACCAGAACATACCAGAGAGCAGATGGCTTCCGGTAAAATAAAATTAGACGCAAAATATTGTATTCGGGTGGAAACCTGTACGCTTACCTGACCACTGCTACTCGTCATGCCGTTCCTTGGTGATTTGCTATGATGGAAGAAAGTGAGCCATGTCCAAACAAAGCCAAGCAATACACCGATCAGCATTATCCCGGCACCTAACGCCACAGAACTCTTTCCTATATTTTCATGTTGCTGTATATCTGGAACCGTCGTTGAATATCCTTCTGGCTTTATCTATAATTATTACATATCAGTTTATAAGTACATTCAATAGAAATAAAATAAATTTAAGGCTCAATTATAGCAAGAAAAAAATAACAATGCTTAATAATTGTTTGATATTCCTTTTAATCTTTCTAGACAAATTTATATACTTTATTATCACCAGGAAGATTTTTAAATGTTTTAGATGGAAAAGTCTGAGAAAATAAAAGATCAAAATTTTACGATAAATCTTGCACATCGCGGACAATAATTACGATTTTTACCTCCGATGCAGCACCGTCACTCGTCTTCGAAGACTCTTCTGCGGAGACGAGGTTGACGAGCATGGTCGTGAGGCCGGCGACAAAGAAGCATAGTGCGATCGACAGCAGCGTCCACTCCAACCATTTCCTGGAATTGAGCTTGTGCCTGGATACGATGCGCCAGAAGCCGTGCCTCAGCCCGGCGGCGCCGCCGCCGCCACCACCACCACTGCCGTCGCCACCGCTGTCGTACGTGTAACCGACGGTGGTCGGTTGGTAGACGGCCCCGCTGTCCGGCATGTTTTCTCGCGAGATGTACGCGATTTTTTACTCTAGCCGCCGCCTCCTCTTGAATCAGAAGGATCGCCGATTCAAAGATAGAACGAGTCGCAACGTCAGGTCACCACCAACGGCACGACTTCGTTGCGTCGGGGATCGGAAATGTGCGCACCGTGTTCGCGACTCTCTTCTCCAAGAGAGAGAGAGAGAGCATCCACCTCTCTTATCGCGTGGTACAACAACGGGACTCACCTGGACAATCACCACCTCGCTAGTGTGGCTGTGGCCGCGTGTCGTGTTAATCCGCGCAATTACTACGCGTGAGGCTATGAGTGAAGGATTTCGCGTACGTACGACACGCGCACACCGACGCGTTGGATGCGTATGACTTGCGCAATGCACACTCGGAGCTCGGAGTACTCCAACTGCTCAAACGTCCCTTTAAAGTTTTAGGAGTGCAACACTATTCTTTTTTTTTCTTCTTATTCTCTTTTGCTTTCTGTATTAATCTTCTCTAAGTTTTGTTTATTTATCGCATCTCTGTCCTTCTCTATTTTACAATTAGCGAACTATCGTTACAGAATAAATCGTTCTCATTGTCGATATACATAGATTGATAATTCAGATAATCTAGATTTCGCGTGAGCGTTTTATCAAATCATACAGCATTGTTATCGATCAAGATTTACGATTCGCAAAATTCTAAGTCATATGAAAACAGACTTAAAGCATAAAAATTTGATATATACAGATAACTTGTACATTTTCTCAAAGATATTTATTATTTGTTATCTATCACTTGCCATTATATATTTAATATTTTGAATGATATATATATATATA